CAGCGGCTAAGAATCTTAGCTCAAGGTGACCGACCCGGTCCAACCATTTCCTCCTAGGGCTGGTGGGTTCATTGGGGCTGAGGTTAGTGTATAAGGTAGCTATGAGCATTTATTGAGGGATAGCTCCCTGAGGATGATGAACAGCCTGTTGGGAAAGGGATGGCGAGAAACAGCAGCAGGTGGCGGAGGAAATAGAGCTGATGGAGATAGGGGAAGAGGGGGGAGAGGATAGGCCGGTAGTAGCAGTAGAGGTGGTAGTTTGGTAACGATGAGAGTTGTTGATGGAAGCATCCTGGGGTGTACGAAGTGGAGTGACGAAATTCATCACGACCACTATCGTATGTGATATTATTTCTAGCATCTACAGTTTGTCGGGTTAGAGTGTTATAATCGGGTATAGTGGGGAGGTGGACGAGGGTGGCAGTTGTTGTAGTTGATGGTGAGGATGAAGAAATCGAAATGATGTGAATTCACGGCTCAGAATTGCTCTTGTACGCGGGCTGGCACGGCTCACCCAAGTAGCCGGTGTCCTGTGGTGAACCGTAGAGAAATGTCCGATGTTTCCAGCCTACTATGATGATTATATACTCTCTCTTGGCTTTATCTACTTGGTGCAATTCCCTCATTATCAGTTATTGGACGCATATGCATCCTTCTGTATTGCACAGCTCGGGAGTGGACTCAAGTTCTCTATGACTGTTGTCGTTGGAGATGCCTTCATCGTGGATTCAGTTTTGTTCATTTTTCTCAAGATTCCAGGTCGTCGTCGTCCTAGCGGTAGTAGAGGAGACTCCTCGCCAGTATCAGTGGCGGACTCATCAGCATCTAGTGAGTGGGTGGTGATGAGCTCTAGGACTTGGGAAAGGAAGGAAAAGAAGATCGAGAAAGCAGTATTGGAGGGATGGAAAATCCACACACAGAAAGAACGGGAAATTTTTGAAGTAGTTTCGAAGGGGTAGGGGGAACTTCTTGTTGGAATTCTGTTGATCGTCTGGAGCTGATGATGGAGTAGTGTGGGAAAATATGCATATGGTCAACTACATTGGTGGAAATTCCGAGGAGATTCCTGGGTTTCGTACGCTTCTACCTGAATTTGTATGTGGACTTCGATACCTAGTGAAACTCTTGAGCTCTGCTGAGGAGATCGAATATAAATCCAACATTGTAGTGAAGTAGTCTGCTCAGGCGCACTTGGCGACCACAACTCTGAAGAGGCTTCGAGTGCCGATAGAACGCCTGTATGAACGAGCGGTTCCTTCTGGTACTTCCTCATCCTCGCCGCCCTCCAAGTCATTTGATCGCTATATGACTGGTCCTGAGGGGAAGTGGCTCGCGGAAGTTACGAGAGTGGCCAAACTGGTATAGGAGGGGTCGCTACAAATCGGTGATGATGGTTGTATGTGGTATTTCAGGAATCAGTGAAGTACTGTGATTTCGGCGATGAGCGTTTCATACTAGTATTGGCAGCAAGCGACGAGTCATTGGAGGACGGGAGGCTATGCTTAGAGGCTCATGCATCCTACTATGATGTGCACAATCAAATGGCGGAGCTCGAGAGGGAAGATCCGAGGTTAAAACCGAGCGAATCTCGGCGATGAGAACTCTATGTGTATCTTGTTTCGAAGATCGATCTGGGATCTCTTGTGCCGTATTGGTCTGAAAGCTTTTGGTTTTCAATGGAGGTATCCTTTTTGGTAGTGTGTCAGAGAGTATTCATGGAAAGG